CCACCCTTGCAATGCATCTTCTTCCATTGTTGAGGGAAAATGGTCTCTTCCCCATATCCTGTCTCCAAGAGGATGTGGGGGTTTGTGGTGGGGGGAACTCATAGCAATCTGAAAAGGGCTCACAGATATCCTCCGTCCCACAAGTACAGAGGTACATTAGTGTCCCTTACCCATTCCCACAAAGAGTTAATAGTAAATAATAACATCGGTACTGTGAAAAAGTCCTTTATTGCCAAAAACAGAAAATAGAATATAGAATAGAGCATCCCCCAATATAAATCCCACCTCAATCATATGGATCTGTCGACAATCATGTCAGCCCGCCACTCAACTATGTTTTACTATTCGACAAACCGTAGACAGGTTTGGTTTGGGTTGGACTCAGGTTAAACCCAAATCTCATCCCTAATAGACATTACTGCACAGTGGGCCCAAATATCTGTTTTTCATGTTATACAACATCATTATGAATATATCTTTTTGTAACCCATATTAACATATTAGATTAAAATGTCAAAATTAATAAATCTTTGTTAATAATTTTTAAATAAACTGCACTCTTTATGAATATATTTACCTTCAAGGTCTTTAGCAATTGTTTATGATAGAAGGCTTACGAGTACTTTACTGAAATTTTAGAAACGTGAAAAGACAACTCCACTTTGGTTAAACAAATATTGATTTTACAGCTGAGCTCTGGGCACATAAATAGTTGTCAAATTATATTTCTCAATAGTCCTAGATCAGGGGGGTCTCCAAAGTTTCTAAACACTGGGCCAGTTTATTGTCCTTTAGGGGGGCTGGACTTTGGCCAATGAGAGTGACTTTAGGGGGGCTGGACTTTGGCCAATGAGAGTGGAAATTTCCCTGCCTTCAGTGGGAGTAAACATCGTCACATTTGGTATTAGGGGGAGGAATAGTGCCTCATCCTTAGTATTGTTGGGAGGAATAATGTCCCATTGTTGGTGTCAGTGGGAGAAATGGTGCCCCATTGTTGGTGATATTTAACAGAATAGTGTCTCATATCAGGGGAAGGAATAGTGAACCAAGGGCTGGATAAAGGCAAGTAAAGTGTTACATCCAGCTCCCGGTCCATGGTTTGGAAACCACTGTACTAGAGGAAATAACTCCTATTTGTGTGCACCAAATGAATTGAAAACCCAGATATGATTTTCCTTTCTATTTTTTTTTACTTTTCTTTCCTTAAAGTGTTAGTTCACCTTTAAAAAGACTCTATGCAGTCCATGAACACTATTCCATAATTGTAAACTAATCCAATTAAAAATAATATCAGTCTATGCTCCTCCCATATCTGTAGATCAATTGTACATGCAGTGAAACCTGCCCCAAACGCTTCTGATAATTTTCACAGCTCCATCTAGTCCTTTCTCTAGGATGGACTAGCCATGACCTACAGGTAAGGGAAGAGAACAAAAGATTATTTTTAAAATTGAATTATGGAATAGTGTCCCTTTAAGGCAACATGTGTGGACAGAAATTTACAAGCTATCATTGCTGACTTATTTTCCAAAGGTCAAACAAACAAACACTAGGGCACACTTTGAGACCTTAGTTTCGAAAGCTAGTGAGTCTCCAACCTGGAACAAGCATGTGGTCTTTGAAATCTGAAGTTTGAACATTTCAGTATGCTTGTTCCTGGTCACTGACTTTTCAGGTAGTAAAGCTAGGACCAAGATGACAACCTGTGCTATAAAAATATAATCATGTACATTTTCACAGAAAGTCAGTAAAAAATGTAAAAACAAAAGCAAAAAAAGCATGACTAGGCAGATAATGCCTCGCCGCATAAAATGAAACAATAAAGAGTGTGATTATTTTCAAAGGACGAAAGATGCAGATTCATGAATAACATATTGCGAAAAATAGATGAAGATGAACTAGCAGCTAAGAATAGTGGGAAAACAAAATGACTAAGTAGTAGTGAACCTATACAAGTAGCAAAGAGTATCAAGTAACAAATAATCATTATTGTGGTATGATCACGATGAACAGATGAGTAAAATTTATCCCACAATTTGACAAGGTAATCTTATAATAATAATAAACAACTGCAGTAAAATCATTTATTAGAACCATAAACGTGAAGGTGTGTATTAATGAGTAATCTGCATTTTATGACATGGGCAGGGGTACTCATGAATTGCATGGGTATGCAACACCACATAGGGTTATAAAACAGTTGGTAGGATTAAAAGATTTTAAGAACCATATGCCACTACTGGTTTAACATCTGAATGTTCAACATACCGTAATTCTCAGATTTTCTGTGCTACTACTAAAAATGGACTGTAATCCACATGTGTATGGTGTAAGTGTTTATATTATTATTCTTTTTGAGAAATACTTTTATCTCTTGAGTTAACACACATTTAATTAGAGTAACACTCATTTTAAAGGAGTGATTTACTGAAGCAAGGCATGACATTTATATGTTTTTTCACACAAGATTCACGCATCCACCCAAGATTCACACATTTTCCACTATAATTGAATCAGAAAATGTGTGAATCTTGGATGAAAGTTGTGTGAATCTTAGATGAACGTTGTGTGAATCTTGGATGAAAATAAATGATAAATGGACACCTTTAATGTCCTCTTCAAATGTTTAGTTATTTCAAGAAGCGTTATTATTAACATTTCACTGCCCATGATTGGACACCGACTTGAATATGGTTCACTTCTCTTTACCTTACTGCCACATATCTAATGTTCTTCACACTTCTTTAAAAAGTGATTTTTGCTTTGATTTTCAACATATACTTTTGTAAACCCTCAAATCTTGGTGTGGAAAAACTGTAGGCCAAGTTTTTGACACTTCAGTCAGTAACAAGAACCATTGCAATCATGCCTGTCACACCTTTAGACCCCTTTTCCATGGCCAGATTTTTGCAGATTCTTACTGCTGGAATGACTAGGCTGATAAGCCAGTTTAAACCAATAGCCTCTGCTGATTGCATGTAGCTGTAGCAATTAGCAGTTTGGACAGATTCCGATCCTGGACGTAGCTGCAGTTTGCAAAAATAGGTCATTTCAGCAGCAAGAATCCACAGATTCTTTCTGCAGGAATCCAGCCATTGCTGCAACACACTGGCCATGTGAAAGGGGCCTTAGGCAACAAGTATAAATATGGCTTTGTACACTAACACTGCCTGAAAAAAAGTTTCCTGCTGGCCCTTTTGAGCTCAGATTTGTATACTACTATCTTGATTGCTAATCCCTATTTATGACCCTGACCTGACTTTGCTTCCTGTCGTTTAGCTGCTGCCCATCTTGCTTGTTGGCCCATTTTTTGCCTCAGCCTAAATGTCAACTGCTGTGACTTTTGCGTGTTTGCGGACTATGTTCTTACATGATTATGAATCAGTACTTTATCTTGGTTTCCTATAATCTGTCATGTCTAGAGCAAAAATCTTGGGAGGTAGCAACTTGTGAATGTCAGAAAGTAGTTACTTGTTTCACTTTTATGATTAATTCCCACCTACAATTGACGAACGAGGCCCCCTAAAAACCAGTGATTTTTCTTGTGTAGAAGTGACCCCACCGCCCCACCCCTTCCAGATTCTATTCCTCCTGCAAACCATTTTACAAGGGTACAGGAAAATTATCCACCAAAAATAGTTGAAAGAATTTCACTAGATTATGAAACAGTATATTGACAATTAATCTAAAAAAATAATGTAATCTGGCTGCCGTAATATCATATGGATGCCATAGAATGAAGGGAAACATGTATTGTAGAACATAGAAGATTTTTCCAGTATTCTAGATGTTTACAACATTGACATATACGTCATACCTAAATACCACACAATAAGTTTAGCATAACAAAAATCTTTATAGATAAGGATACTTTTACCGAATGAACCTTTTACTTGGAAATCACTATACTTCATAAGAAAACATTTATCAGCATTTATCTGGGAACTAAAATGTTTTCTTAAACTTGTCCTAGAGTTAAAAGCCAGAAAGGAGTTGTTGGATCTTTCATGAATAGTTAAGATCCAAAGTAATCTTACTGGAGAGTTTGGCCACCATCTGCAGCTACTGACATAATATAGCGCCTGGTCTATAATATAAAGTAAATGTTTACTGAATGTAAGGTTACTACATTAAATGCTGCAGTTCACCAAAGACTCTTTGCAACACCTAATGCAGGCTTGCAGGATGTTTGGTATAGCATAGCTTTGCTAGACCCAATGACCTAAGGCACATTATTAGGTGTATTGCTGAGTGTCTAGCATCACCCAGCTTTCTATCAGACATCATCCAGTAGGGTTATCCATACCTCTCAACTTTAATATTTCATAAAGCTGGACATCGTGGAGGGGAATAATGCAGCACACGTCTGCCTAAAATGAATTATGGCCATGGTTTTCAAGAGTTAAGGTAGAACTAAAGCCCTTAATACTTACATTTCATTCATTGGTCTTATGTCCCTCACACGGCATCTTCTACCTAGCTTCTTCTTGGTGTAGGTCTGCGGTCATCTAGAATTGGCCAACGCAGGAAAATGCTTGCGCAGCTAAGTGTACATTCCAAAAAAGACTGCAAGCAGGCAGGTAGGTTTATTTTATTGCAGAAGACACATTGAATGTCTCTTCTGCAATAAAAAGCCAGCAGTTTTTAAAAAGGAGACTTTAGTTTCACAATAAATTGATTCTGCATACAGCAATAACTACTGTAACATGACTAAGTCTTACAGACACACATAAATGCCTAAAGTGTCTGTAAAACTCTGAAATGAAAAATAATTGAGCATATCCCTATATAGTATGTACTTGCCTCAATCCAACGCACCTAGTGAGATTTCTGTCTTGACTCATCTCTGACAGGTTTTGTCGACACAACAAAATTTCGAGAGATAGCTCCTCCCCCCCACACACAGAAAGTGATTGACACTCTCTGTTGTGTATGTTTCCCTATGAGACTGTGGGGTTTATTTACTAAAATGGAGAGTGCAAAATCTGGCTTACTTCTGCATAGAAACCAATCAGCTTCCAGGTTTTATTGCCAAAGCTTAATTGAACAAGCTGAGGTTACAAGCTGATTGGTTTCTCTGCAGATATAATACTGATTTTGCACTCTCCAGCTTTAGTAAAGAAACCCGTGTGCGTGTGTGTGTTGTGTCCTTTCCCTCCACTCAGGTCTCAGATTACATTCAGCTCTCCTCACTGTGCTGTGCAGTGTGTGGCATCAGATTCCCACCCCTGCTTGCTGGAGCTAAGAATTAGACATTGATCTGGGTGTTTTAGAAGGCTCTAGAGAAGTGAGAGATGCAGATAAATGGGTACAGCTACATGTAGGAGGATTTGTTTCATATGTGCATCATCTGAAGCTAGTCACTTCAGTGAGTATTTGTAAGGGTTTGCATCAACTTTAAGACAAAAAACTCTTCAACTTCATATGTGTTCTGTCTATGCCTACCTTAAAAAGGAACATTAAGAAAAAAAACACTTGAGGACCAGCAACCAGAAATTCCTGAAGCAACAATCACTTTGGTCAAGAGTATGTTCATACAGCACAACGCATGGAATGCAGTGAATAATATTATGTAATACAGTGCCACTTACGTTGCTGGTTGGGGAAAGGAAAAAAATGTCCCAGCATTGGTGGTTAGTGGGAGGGAAAAAAATGCCACACTGTTGGTGAGAGAAAAAAAAATGCCTAATATCATTGGTCCGTGGGAGTTAAAATTGCCTGACACTGAGACTTTTCTTTCCACAGCAGATTCTGTTTTTTGTTGCAATAGACTTCAAATGAACTGCACCAAAAATGCAAGTGTTGCATTTTTATGCATTTTTTATGCATTTTTTGGGCAATAGGAAAGTACTGAGTAAGACTTTACACTCTCTGGCAATCAAGTCACAACAAAGTAGTGCAGGAACAATTTTAAAATCACTGCGACTTTGAAAACGTTCCTGCACTACTTGATGTGACTTTGATGCAACTTTGATGTAACTTTAAACTCTCTGGCACACAAGTCACATCAAAGTAGTGCAGCAACCTTTTCAAAGTTACTGTGACTTCAAAAAAGTTCCTGCACTACTTTGATGTGACTCTGATGTGACTTTTGAGTGCCAGATAGTCGCATCAAAGCCGCACTTAATACTTTCATAATGGAAAAATGCAAAATGCATAAATAAAGTACCATGCATGTTCAAAAATGCAAAACACTATAAAACGCACTGGAAAAACGCATCAATTGCAACATGCATAGGTGTAAACTAGTACCTGCTCTCTGCAATGGTTTTGAACAGAGCAACCCAAATCCTTCTCTTCTCTGGTCCCCTGCCGGAGTTTCTGACTGCTCCCCCCACTGCTTCCTATGGCTGGAACTTGTGTGAGCTCTCTCCCATTCCAGGCTGTTTGCATCTATTCAGACACACAGCAACAGGAGCCAATGGCCAAGCCTGTGGGAACCAGAAGAGGGGAGAGGAGCTGCTGCAGATGAGCCCATTGCTGGACCGAGATCGGGCTCAAGTGAATATTTAGGGGAGGCTGCGGGGAAGCTGCATGTAAAAGGTTTTTTACCTTAATGCAGAGAATACATTAAAGCGATAGTAAACCGCCACCAAAATAAAAAAAAAATTGGAACCCTTCAGGTTTACGTCATAATGTACTAGTATGCACTGCATCCTAGCACATTATTATTATACAGTATTTATATAGCGCCAAAGGGTTTGCTCAGCGCTGTACAATAGCGAGGGGGAGAGAACATGAGACAATACAGTAACAATACAATACACGAGGGGTTTGAGGGCCCTGCTCTTTCGAGCTTACAATCTGGGAGGGAGGGATAGTGGTACAGGAGGAAGTGGCTGTGGGGGATGGAGTGGTGGGAGGAGTAGAGCACATTATGAAAGACTTACCTGGATATGAAGCCCTCCAGCGCAGCACTGTCATGGCTCCAAGACATATCCATCTTCAGCTGTCTGTATGCATGGCCGGGGGACGCGATGACGTCACTCCCGCATATGGTTACTGGAGCCCCGGCATGGAGCTTTGAAGGAATGGCATGGGTATGCCATCCCTTCAGAGCGCATGCGCTGGTGATGTCGCTGGCTGCATGCTGTGTGAATATCTCCTAAACAGTGCAAGTTTAGGAGATATTCAATGTACCTACAGGTAAGCCTTAGTATAGGCTTAACTGTAGGTACAAGTTAAAAGTGGATTTTACTTCAACTTTAAGGTGAAAAAAAACTTTTACGTTTACAACCACTTTAAATAATATGTTTGGGTGATGTCTTCAAGCAATACATGGTGTTATGGAACTGTGTGAGTTTTATGGACAGTCTCAGTGACAGCGTACACTGCCAGTACATATTTGGCTGTGGAGTTGATTTTTTTTTCTTTTACAGTTAGCTTGGCTTACAGTCAGGTCCATAAATATTGGGACATCGACACAATTCTAACATTTTTGGCTCTATACACCACCACAATGGATTTGAAATGAAACAAAAAAGATGTGCTTTAACTGCAGACTGTCAGCTTTAATTTGAGGGTATTTACATCCATATCAGGTGAACGGTGTAGGAATTACAACAGTTTGCATATGTGCCTCCCACTTGTAAGGGACCAAAAGTAATGGGACAGAATAATAATCATAAATCAAACTTTCATTTTTTAATACTTGGTTGCAAATCCTTTGCAGTCAATTACAGCCTGAAGTCTGGAACACATAGACATCACCAGACGCTGGGTTTCATCCCTGGTGATGCTCTGCCAGGCCTCTACTGCAACTGTCTTCAGTTCCTGCTTGTTCTTGGGGCATTTTCCCTTCAGTTTTATCTCCAGCAAGTGAAATGCATGCTCAATCGGATTCAGGTCAGGTGATTGACTTGGCCATTGCATAACATTCCACTTCTTCCCTTAAAAAACTCTTTGGTTGCTTTTGCAGTATGCTTTGGGTCATTGTCCATCTGCACTGTAAAGCGACGTCCAATGAGTTCTGAAGCATTTGGCTGAATATGAGCAGATAATATTGCCCAAAACACTTCAGAATTCATTAAAATCAATAAATAATTATCCGCGCTCTAATGTTACCTTGCAAATGCTATATATTATATAATACCATAGCAATACCATTAATTCATATATGCTGTGATACTATCATCTTATCAACTTTTTACCTGGATTGCCAAAATTAATCTTATTATATTATCCTAGTGCTTAATAAAAAAATAAAAATTAAAAATGTGTAATTAAATCCAATTATGATATTTATACAGTGTGATTATTTCGTTAAAAATAAATAAATTAAATATAATTCACTTTGCCAGTGTGAAAATCAACTGAATGTAAATAAATAAAAATAATGAAAAAAAATTTGTATAAATTCATATGATCCAATGTGCAAATGATGCAAAGCAAACAATGAATTCTATATATATTAGTGAAATATTAATGAATAAAAATAATAAAGATAATTAAAAAATGTATCAATTCATAAAGTTCAGCAGCAAAAATGTGCAAAAAAGTTTTTTAGGGTTCAGCAGGAAATAGGTATTGGTGATATACTCTCCTTTTCAAGTTGCTTATGTTGATGTAGATGGAAACCTACGAACTATCTTCTGAGTCTATGTAGATATGAGGTTTTCTCCCTCCTAGAGCCTCTCCTTGCTTCAATGCTCAATATATCCTCATATGACCCATAGAAGAAAGAAGATAAAAAAAGATATGGTGCCTTATCCAAGGTATAACAAACACTGTTAAATGTGCTCCCATAATGCACTCACATTGTGTTAAAAAAAACAACACGCATATAGAAATAAAACCGCGAGCTGTGGTGATGCTCAGCCTCTTAGGAGTGTGATCACACTCCGTCAGTACTCACCGTAATGTCGGTCCGATACGTAGTGACGTCACTGCCCCTCCCCTTTGAGTGTGAGAGTGAGAAAAATTCCAGCGATCTAATACATTGATTTCTAACTCCAGTGGCTCACAAGTTCATCTTATTAATAATACTTCAGAATTCATCCTGCTGCTTTTGTCAGCAGTCACATCATCAATAAATACAAGAGAACCAGTTGCATTGGCAGCCATACATGCCCACGCCATGACACCACCACCATGCTTCACTGATAAGGTGGTATGCTTAGGATCATGAGCAATTCCTTTCCTTCTCCATACTCTTCTCTTCCCCATCACTCTGGTACAAGTTGATCTTGGTCTCATCCGTCCATAGGATGTTGTTCCAGAACTGTGAAGGCTTTTTTAGATGTCATTTGGCAAACTCTAATCTGGCCTTCCTGTTTTTGTGGCTCACCTATGGTTTACATCTTGTGGTGAACCCTCTGTATTCACTCTGGTGAAGTCTTCTCTTGATTGTTGACTTTGACACACATACACCTACCTCCTGGAGAGTGTTCTTGATCTGGCCAACTGTTGTGAAGGGTATTTTCTTCACCACGGAAAGATTTCTTCGGTCATCCACCACTGTTGTTTTCCGTGGTCTTCCGGGTCTTTTGGTGTTTCTGAGCTCACTGGTGCGTTCGTTCTTGTTAAGAATGTTCCAAACAGTTGTTTTGGCCACGCCTAATGTTTTTGCTATCTCTCTTATGAGTTTGTTTTGTTTTTTCAGCCTAATGATGTCTTGCTTCACTGATAGTGACAGCTCTTTGGATCTCATCTTGAGAGTTGACAGCAACAGATTCCAAATGCAAATAGCACACTTGAAATGAACTCTGGACCTTTTATCTGCTCATTGTAATTGGGATAATGAGGGAATAACACACACCTGGCCATGGAACAGCTGAGAAGCCAATTGTCCCATTACTTTTGGTCCCTTAACAAGTGGGAGGCACATATGCAAACTGTTGTAATTCCTACACCATTCACCTGATTTGGATGTAAATACCCTCAAATTAAAGCTGACAGTCTGCAGTTAAAACAAATCTTGTTTGTTTCATTTCAAATCCATTGTGGTGGTGTATAGAGCCAACAATTTTAGAATTATGTCGATGTCCCAATATTTATGGACCTGACTGTATATAAAGCAGCATCAAATTCTGATTCATTTCAGTTTGAGAAAAAAAATTCAGGTAGCTTTAGCAGTGACAAGTGCTTTTTCATCAAATTCTATTAGAACATCTTTGATTGGCAAATACAAGTTGGCCAGCAATTT